AACAAATTAATAAATACAAAATCCCAATGAAAACAAATAACAAGAATCAGAACAGAAAATAAAATAAAATAAAGAGCTGGCTGTAGGTATTTATAGCATATTATTTAAACATTGAAATGTTAAGTGACTAAAAAAGGTTTTGCCTGGTACCAGAACATGAACAGTGTCAGTACCAGGTATACTTCCCTGGTGAGTGATTTCCATAAATGAGGTGCCACTACTGAAAAGCCCTTCTGAGTAGCCACCATCTTCACATCTTTCAACAGTGGCTCTCCTTTAAAGGACCTCCAAAGATGATCTTAAGGTACAGGTACATCTGGGTATACCCACAGGTCCTAATCTGTTTAGGGCATTATAAGTTAATATAAGCACCCTGAAGCAGGTGTGGACCACAAACCCAGAATGCAACCTTGTGGAACAGTTTGGACAGGCATATAGGACCTCAGGTCTGGACTTCCAGTCCAGTTCTCTGGAGTGAAGTGGCACCAAGAGCAAGTTTTTTTGAAAGTCCCGCCTGCCTTTCTCACCTGCTGTGGAAAATGTCACAGCAAAAGAACAGCTGATGGGGCTCTCCCAGCAGTCTCACCCTGGGAAGTTTCTCAGAGTGAGACAGAAAGTGGCTGGCTACTCTTGAGCAAGTACCAGCTCTCTGGCTCATTCCAGTAACCCTCTAAGGATGTCCTTTCACAGAGCCAGGAGATTGCCTGTGCTGCAGGTAATTTCATAGGATATCCATGCTCTGGAGCAGCAACCCAGTCCTCTGCTTAGCCAGAGCTGAGAGAGGATGGAGGAGGCTCCAAAGGAGCAAAGCACCAGGAGATCACCAGGTGGATCCCACTGGTCATCTCTCTAGTGATGCCAGGCTCTGAGGAAGGAGCTCCTCAAAGCCAGGCATTTGCCTAGATAGCAGTCTGAAGAAGAATGCTGGCTGAGGCTATTGTTCTGGAAGCCAGCCCTCTTTCATGCTCTACTCAGGGCAAGCCAGAATGTGGTCAAGTGTTGCAAGAGAGACGGTGCAACAGTGGATTCTCTTCTCTGGCAATGGAAGAACTTGTGCTGAAACAGCTTGCACAAGAAAATAGGATTTTCATAAGCAATAAAAGTTGTGCACTAGCAGAATAATAGTCACATATACCCTTCTGTATGCAGGGGATGGGATCCAAATGGTCACATGGGGAACATCTGAGGGCAGACTAAAGCCTCTGAGTATTGCCTCCCACTTCTGACTGCAACTCTATGGAAAAAGCTACTCTCAAAATTCAGGGGGGCTTTAGAAAGGCTTGTAACACAACCCAAGAAAGTACAGACCTCTTTATAACTTGGGACAAAAGACTTAGAGTAAAACTGCTATCTTGCCATTATATAGTTGTTTTCAGAATCCTGGAAGAATATTATTAAACTCTTGCAACAAAGAGAGAGAGAGAATTAACTGTGGCAGCCTAAGGATTAATGTGCTTACAGTAGTTAGTTGATTTGTTAGTAAGAAATATAAATTAAAAACTATATTTTGAAAGTTAAAAACAAGCCCCCTTTAAAAGGTAGAACCTTTTAAAAGTTTAATCTTAAATACAAGTATTTTACCAAATGATGTATGGAGGTTTCCATCTTACAAGAGGGACTCCCTTTTGTTGTAAAGTGGGTAGAAAGGATATTTCTTCTAATGCAACAGTTTGCCCAACTCTGGGCTTACTGTGCTGGGTGTGTTCAGTTGCCCGTTTGACTGCTCAGTGGAGTTTGCAGCACATCTTCTGAAACTGGCCAGAGGCTAGATTAAACAGACCCCTACTACAAACTCTCTAATACCTGTGGGTTAAGCATAACTGTACTACAAAGCGAGGGTTAAATAACCCATGGTGAGCCCATGGTGGGTCACACAAACCAGTTCTTATACAAATGGTCTGCACTGGTATAAGACTTACCAGATTTGCATGCAAGGTTGTATACTGACTTTGCTAGCATTCTCTGACCAAGTGACTTCCAGATGTTTTAGATTATAACTCCCATCCACACCATCGGCATTGTCAATGCTAACACATGTTGGAAATTGTCCTCCAGAAGTTTTGGGTGACATCAGGCTGGGTAAGGTGGGACCATGCTGACTGGCAGTGGTTCTTCAGGGTTTCAGGCAGTAACTAGAGAAGTTTGGGACTGAACCCAAGACCTCCTTCATGCAAAGCAAATGTTCTGCCACTGAAGTATGAACTTTCCTAAAGAATCAGATGGAGAACCACATGTTTCTCCATAAGTCTTCACTGCTGGATGTGTCATTTATACAGGGGCAACTCATTCATGCATGGACCCCGATTCCATACATGGTTTGCTATCAGTGGACTGAGGCAAATGGATGAAATACCACAGAGGATATGCTAAATTAATGAGGTGAGAACACTGTGGAAATGCAATGGCTTGACTACTGGGACAGGAAATACAATGTACAATCTAAAAAACAGAGTGAATTGCAGCCTGATCTTAAGATCCTGCAACACTAGTGCATATGTGCTCGGGGTGATAAATCTACACCATTGCACCATACAAAGATCTTGTCAGTCATTCCCAAGTAGATTATATGGACACAACAAGCAAAATTTGCCAGCCAATGCACAGAGGATAGAATTTACAAGCCATATACTCTGAAATCATCCTACAGACTGCAACAAATAGTTTGTTAATGATGGACAGGCTTACCTTTTCTGCAATGATAAATGTTTCTTAATTCAAAATTCATCCTAAACATGCTAGGAACTCAGTAGTGCTTATTTCTAAGTAAATATTCTCAGGATTTCACCACTTCACAGATATCTCCATTGGAACAATATACCAATGAAGCTGTAGTTTTCATTCAGACACTGGCCATGCAGACAATAACTCTGGCAGAAATCCAATTTGAAAGACAATTGCCAGGACCAAGAAAATTCTAGCAAGTGGCTTTCTAAACACCAACAACAAAGAATAAAATTAAAAGATGACATTATAACCCTGAGAAATTTTGCCTGGTTCCTGAAAACATCATGCCCACACTCAGAAAATGAAGCATCTTCCCATCCTGTGCAGGTTGTTACATGATTACAACTTTAGTGTTTATGCAGCACCATGTAATACAATGTCAAGATCTACTTTTGCCAGTAGGGCAAAAAGAATAGAAATTTCTAAGGTGAAAAGAATAGAAATAATACAAAGTCTAGCATGTTAAGGACTAAAGGGCTCCATGATGCATTTCATGCCATTCGTGCTTCCCTTCCAACCCACCCCTGTGTCAAGTGAAAAAAGCAATGAATGATTCCACACTGTGGTGCTGTCCCCTATAGCTCATGTCTCATTCGCACAGTGCACAGCTAAAAGCTGCAAAAGGTAACCTGTGCTTTTCTGTACAGAAGCTCTTATGACCAATGGCCAACTGATTCAATCACCTAAGTCAAAAGCATGGACTTCTCACCCCTGTTTTAGTTTTAAATGTCAGCATTGGCTGTTGCAATTTCAAATGCAATGTAAAACTTCTGAAGTTTCTATTAAAGATAGAGTTCATCTTGCAAGAGATATGCATAGCCAACATTTATGGGCAAACTGATTATATAATCTTAAGGCATTATATAAATTGGAGTCCCAGATTTAATAGAAACAAATCAGTGTAAGAACCTGTGCATACTTCCCTAAGAGTAAGACTCACTAAACATAATAGGGCCTACTTTTGAGTAAACATTTCCAGAACATGCAAATATCTCAGCATGCAGCCTGACCCCTGTACATGCCTACATGGACATACATCTCATATGGTACAGTGGGGCTTACTCCTAAGGAAGTGTGCATAGAAATGTAACCTTAAGACTTAAATGTAGATAGGTTGCGAAAAGTCTATATATGGCACATCTTATTCCATGCTATATTGCATTTCATTGTTGGTCAGAGTATCTGATCTAGTGTGTTTAGAATTCCTTTCTTTTAAAAAGCAGCTGGAAATACCAAATAGTGCTCTAACTTGAAGTCAATGTCAAAATTCTCACTGATTTCAAAGATTGCAGCCCACATCAATAGACATCAAAATACACAGTGCTCAAAGAGTAATGATTGTTTCAATGAGCTGTTATAATATAAAAGAGATATATCAAATCCAACTCTTATTTTTAGCAAACTGATATCATGTATCATTTTGCAGTGCTTTCTGTATATCTAAAGTAACATCAATGTAAGCAAACTGAGCAGTGTCTAAGATACCTTGTATTTTAAAATACAATATTAACTCATCGAAAGTGCTACTTCTCCATGATACGAGCATGTGTTTTAAAGTCCAGTGCATTTTGTCTTAAGGACACCCAGCAGAGAATATGTGAATCACGGTTTATGGTGAATGACGATGGGCGAAAATCACCTTCTCTTCAAATGAAAGAAGCATTTTTCGAAGTACTCAATGAAATCAGGGGTGAGCCAAAATTTCAAAAAAAGGAAACACCCGAAGACGTTACTGCTAGTTATTTTTCATCATCATCATCATCATCATCATCATCATCATCATCATCATCATCATCGTTTTACAACATCTATGCAAAGCGAGGGAAAGAAGCATCTAGCAACAGGGGGAAGAAAACAGTTATATGTTCGTTGTCAAAGCGTGAAGTGCTTCAAAGGGATTCGTTATATCGCCTCTATTCACCCGAGTAGATATTTCCAAATAAATCGGAAGCTGTCGAACTTATTGCGCTTAAGCATCTGGAGCCCATGCCCCTTCCCCTCTCCAAAGAAACGGAGCGCGGGGGGGGCGCAAAAAAGGCATTGTACTATTTCGGGGAGAACAACAGGAACGCCACTTTTACAAAAGAAAAAGACGATGCAGTAGAGAGGTATGACAACACAGCTCGCTACTGAGCGCTGAGTATGAATAATAACATTAATAATAGTAACGACAAAAATAAATAAGTATCTATGAGGCATATACGGCAGAGCTGCCAAACCCGCGCGAGTAGCGGACAAGGCTGCGGTACTGCAGAAGTGCCTGGCGCGGTGCTTACCTGCCCCACAGCCCCTCCGGTGAGTAATGCGCGAGACGCAGCGGCGGCTGCACCCCCGGCTAGCTCCACAATGGGTCTGCTCCTCTTCGCCGGAGCGGCGGCAGAAACGCACCACTCCGCGCGAGCACCGCCTCGGGGATTGTTTCTCTCGCGTCCTGCAGCGCCCGGAATACTTTCCTTCGCCCCGCCCCTCTCTTCCTAATTTGGACAACTCCGCGCCCCCTTCATCGCTACTGGGCTCCAATTGGGCTACATCCTCACCGTCTTTTGAGAGCCGCTCTCCCCTCACCCCGCCCACGCCGTTTTCCCTTCTTGCTATCGCTTCACTTTGTCGTCGCAATGCTTCTCGGGAGTTGTAGTTTTCCCAGGAAGAGGACTACAGGTCCCATGGGCCCGCGCGGTCGCCGGCTAGTTCCGGACAACGCCTGGTGTGTGGTAGCGGCGGTGGCAGCGGCGGTGGCTGGCGAGGGGAGGACGCTTCCTTCCCGACGGGTACTTCCGGCAGTAGCGTCGGCGGAGCCCGCTCGGGAGCCCGAAAGGCTTCGAGGGGCGGGTGGGCAGGGAGGGAGGTAAGGTGGCGGAGCCGGAGCGGGAGCGGGAGCGGGAGGAGAGGTGGGGGGCTGTTGTTGTGTCGCCGCCTGCTGAGGGATCGTCCTGGCCGCGGCCGCAGGGGCCACCCGTGGGTGTGCGCGGGGCCTAGCCGTGTCGCAGAGGCTGCGCTGGCCGAGAGGGGCAAAGGGGCTTCGGGAGCCTGCTGCCCGTGGCGGAGCCGGCGAGAGGCCTAGTGCTTTAGCCGGCGCAGCCAGAGGAGGGATAAGCCGGGGCTCTGCGCGGACCCGGTTGCCTCCCCGCCCACGTCCACCTCCAGCATGGCCTTGAGGGGATGGATTTATCATAGCAAGGGCGGCGAAGGACTGCGACCCTGGCCCATCAGAGGGAGGGGGTGAAGAATATGGGTAGATCCAGTGCTTTCAAGACGAAGGTCTCCCACTGTTTAGGGTTATGTGAGGGAGAGGAAGGCTTTCTTTTTCGGCAGGGTGTGACTAAAGATGACATCAAGGTTGGGAGGCCTCTCACCTCTGGAGAAGAAAAGCAAGAGTAGAAAAAACTGGGAGGAGGAAGTTGTCTGAAGGTCTTTGGCCTGGGGTGTGTGTAGAAAGCCGGTATGTTGGGGAGATGGTCAAGTTCCAATTTCCCACAACTGCCCAATTTTCTGGTAGCAGGGAGATACGTTTATAAGCACTCAGGTAGTTTCTGTTGTATAGCCTGTAATAGGATAACCCAGGAACAATTTTACAACTTCCATCTGTTTAGATAGGCTTTTGTGTACACACATTCTCTTTATATTTGTGCATATATTAACATATGTACACCCTTAGAATGCCTAAACCTGATGTACTTGTAGATAAAGCAAAATGGAGTGATCAGAAACTCAGTGGATAGACTTAATAAAGGGTTCTTCATCAAATACAGAGGATGCCAAGAACTGGTAGTTATTGGAGGCAGAGTGTTGGACTAGGTGGAGTGAGTGCCCAGAACTAACACAAACAGCTCTTGTATTCATCTGAATATTGGATGGACGTTAATGGAAAGTTAAATGGAATGGTAGTAGAAGAGGTATACAATAGTCACTCTGCTGAATGGGTTATATCAAATTATATTGAAGGTGGTTCAATCGCTCATGTAGGATGATGGCAAGAAAACTATAAAGCAGGGGTTTGGGGAAGAATCCCTGAATTAATAATGAATGTTACTTGTATGGACAGATTGCTGCTGGTGGGTCTTTTTACTTGTGATTGAGTACAGTGTTTTGGAAGAACAGTGAAGCTTTTGGTGGAAAGAGGTGGTCTTAACATCTTGGTATGAGTAGGATAAACAGATTGAAGCCAAAACTAACTTAGACTGGTTTCCCTAATTCAGCTAGGAGGCCAGGTTCCTGGAACTTGCCTAATCTCAGGAAGTAAATACTGTGGTATGCTGAAATTGCAATGTACCTTGAAGGATAGAGTTAGGCCTCTCTTAAAGGTAGGTGCTACCTTCATTAGTAAGTTAGTATGAAAGGAGGTTAATCTTGACAGTTATACCATCACACAGTAACAATGTCTCTTTGCCATTGAGCCATATGCAGACTGGGGCACATCTGTTGCCAGTAGGCATGCATTAAATTCCACTTGATGCAATTGTAAGTTTGAGACTCAACTTGTGTGTAATGATTAGCATCTCTTGTATCTTTCCATTATTTTTATTTCTTTACAAAAACTCAAGATATCTAAAGCAAGGGTGGGAAACTGTTTCCCTGTTGGTCTGCATCATCTCTGTCAAAAAATTATAGGGTCTTCATGCCAGAATCCAAAGTGGGTAGAGTTATAGATGGAACTATGTATTCAATATGCAACAGACATAAGGCATTTATATCCATTATGCTTTCTCAACCTGTGCAAGGTTACCTCCATGGATTCAAGATGGAGTAAACAATATCAATATGAAGAGAGCTCCTGAGGGTACATCACATGGGAAGAGTCTGCAGGCCTGGACTAAGAATCCCGGAGCCCTGCATTTGGGGCATGGGCCAGAGGGTCTTCCTCTTCTCTCCAACCTGATTGAATTAGAATATTCCGTATTTTCTGTTTCGTATATTAATTCTTAGAAATATGTCAGGCTTCTCTTCTCTATTGTTTACTCTAATTATGCATTTGGAGAGCAGAAAAAGATGCTTGTATCTTTTTTGTCAATGCAGGAACCCAATAGGGAAAGTAAATATATGCATAAATATTATTTCAGTTTCTTTACTAAGGTTTAAAAAATAAGAGTGAACTTATTTACCAGTTGATATACTTTTTCTGTGGTCTGTTTTTAATATTTTATTTTCTTTTTAAAGCTCTACTAGTAGTGTTAGTCCTGTTCAAGTATTCAGAAGCATAATAACCCAGTTGATATAATTTGCGAGCTAGAACGGATTAGATAGATTTATATTCCCTTCATTCTGTGAACAGGGAAAAAAAATATTCTGTTCAGCCTGTTTGAGAAAGAATGCATTTTTTAAAAGAAGCGTTTAAAAAGGTCAGTGAAATAAGGTGTTATTGCTGATTGTATTCACAATGTTTAAAATGCTAAGATTAAACTGTAAAGACACACAAGATAGGTGCAGACACAGTGGGCATTCAGTGGATGTGTTGCCTGTCATTACTGGATGTGTTGCCTGTCATTACTGTCACAGATGCTATCAAGAAAAGGCTTCCAACCCACATTCCTCATGGAATGCTCAGTTCTACTGTGTGAGGTGCACTACTTGGTGGAACGATTAGTGTTTTCCCAGTATCAAAATATTTTGGTCTGTTTCCTGGAAAATACATTATCCTGCAATGCAAATACCACCTTGCTTGGATTGTTCATTAAAAACTGAAGAACAGTTGTGTGTGTTGCATCAGAACACCCATCACTTGGAATTTCTTTCTGTGAAAATGTTAGTCCTATTTATTGTGTTTTTATAGTAATGCAATCTAATGGCAGCAACTGATGTGTACTTTAAAGAATTGTTTATGCAGCATTCTGGAACAACTGACTAATAAATAAGCGGTGTACTTGCAGATGCTTTTGGGGATGCTATCAGAGCAAACGTTAGTTAGAAAAGCTATTTCCTTTTAAAATTTAAAATGCTTGTTACTGAACCTTGCTGGTTTATAGTATTTTGAGACAGATGAAAATAGACTTCAATATAAAGATGCACTTTAAATAAAGAATACTTATTTCAGACCATTAGATATCTAAGTATGTGTTTTGTAGAGCAGTTAAAAGCTGCTAAAACTTTGGCAAGGGTAAAATGTCCTAGAAATAAATGACAGTAAATATGCCTTTTCTCATTGCTTTTCATGTATGATACTTAGTTAGGAAGGAAAGGCTGGCAGCAATTCTCAATATTAGATGAGTCTTACACTGGAGAGGCCAAGACAAACTTCTTGAATTGTGCATAGAACCATATATAGATACCTTTTTATAGATCCCAGGTTATTCAATGTGTGTGAATGTTGGCTAAGTTAATATCTGAGCCAACAACTGCAACTTTTCTCCAAAGAGTCTATAATGTTTTGAATCTCCTGTGAGAAGGTTCGTTGTTCTGTTTCTAGATAAGGACAGTGGGATGAAGACAGATTACTTACTGATGGCTGAACCATGATTCAGACTGTAGTCTTTTGAGTTCTGGTGCCATGCCATACCATGCTATGCCCCGTATCATACTTGTTTTTGAAGTAGATAGGATTATTCCTAGAAAGGGGTGCTTTATGATGACAGAGTTTCCACAGCCATCTTCAAGCATTTGTTACTGACTACTATTAGAATTGTACCACTGGGCTGCAAATTGGTCTGGCAACATCTACTCAGGGTACTGAAGCCAGATATCTTGATAAGAGGAAGTCTTTGAATTAAATAGAAAAAAATCTTTCGTTGATAATATTAAAACTGTCAAGAAATCAAGGGAATATGCTAGCAGTTTTGGTAAAGGGAACTAAAATGCCAAGCTAGTGCCATTTCCTTCGAAGATGTCTAGAGGAGGAGAGACACACTTGTGCTAGAAAGACAATCTAGATTTCATGAAGAGCAGGTAGTGGCATTTTTTTTTTCACTGCTACAGCAAGCTATTCTAGCTCAAAAAGAATAAGTAAAGAAATACATTGGCTATTATAGGGTACACTGTGAATGGTTAGACTGTTTGTGAAGTAAATGGATAATATTCAAGATCTTCCATGGATATGGGGGTGGGCACTGTTCACAGAAACTGCTTCCATCTGATTTTTCAGGTACCCCTGCAGCTCAACACAGTTCTGCATATTTCTGCACCCCACTTGGTAGCATTTTCAGGGAACTGAAGGAGCTGCTGTGGAAAATTGGAAAATTTGCTTCTGCCAATTCATTTCCGTGTTCCTAAATTAATATTGCCTAATGAAATGTGTAGTTATATAGAGAACAAGTTGGCATATTACTGAAAGCAAACATGAGTAGGGCATAAATGGATCATTCTGTGGAGAATAGACTGTTCATTCATTTGTTTGGAAAGAGCTTCAGAGATTATTTGCAATTAAGCAATTTTTAATTTTTAATTTTTGCTGGTTAACAAAATAAGACAAACTCCACCTGTTTCAAAGACATA